ACCAGCTAATCTAACGGCGCACATCCGACTGTTGACTGGGATCCAATCGATCAGGGCGGCTTCAACCCGGGGACTCAAAACAATGCCCACGCCAGCTTGACCGGCATTTGAAGCTGCATCATCGCCAGACAGGCGCAATGAGAATGTGCCGCCAGTGTCGCATGTGGGGTTTCGCAGGGTAACCACGGAGACCGAATCATGCAGGCGGGTTTTTGATAAACAGCAAATATCGATCGATAGGGTCGCTAGTGTGCGGGTGAGTGCTGCTTGTTGGCCAATCTGTAGCAAAGTGCACACATTGAGACATGCCAGTCTTAGCGAGGATCGAGGACTCCAAAGGGAAACGGATGAACAGACGTTGTCCGCTTGGTTGAACATGGACTTTTCGACTGGATTGGAGTGACGCTCTGCGATTGTGCGTGGGTTGAAACCAGAAGACAAGCCACCATTGAAGCAAGGTGGAGGAGGGCCAAGAATTGGGGGGTTGAAAACGGGGGGATAAAAGTGCAGTTAGGGCGGGACGACAAGGATGCAAAAGCGCAAGAACGTAGATAAGAAGACGGGAAGGCCTGAGCAGTAACACACATACCCCTATCGACCCTGCTCGATGCAGCAGATAGGGCGCCGTTGATTATCCTCTGCGACGGCCAGAGCATTAATAAATTGGTAGAAGAAGAGTATTGTCAGTTTACCCAGGCCTAGACAGGAACCTTACCACAAGGTAGCGGGGTTTTGGCATTGGACTACAAGAGAGGCCGCTTTATGAAGTAAGGAGTCACACTCACTCCAACCTCGAAACCGGAGGGCCAGGAGATTGAGTTTGTCTGGCCTCTAACCATTGACCAATCTGGTATAAGTGACTCCGAAGGTGCAAAGCACCACCCAGCATAGCCCAATGGATCAATGAGGCATACAAACCATCGCACCACGTTAACGTCCAGTCTCGTCGCGCGCCGTTGTCCAGTTTCCTGCTAACACACTGATTTGTATGAAAGGATAGGCGATGATCTAGGAACAAGTTCTCGAAGGTGGGGGTCAGCAGGAAATCCAAATTATGGACACGGAGTTTCGGGTTGCTGAAAGTGTGAAGGTTGATTGTTGGGCGGAAGAGTGATGGAATCACAGTCTCACTATCATCGGACGCGGATGAAGCTATGCAACTGAACAATACAGTGATCATGGCGTTCTTTGTTGTCAAACCACCAGTAGTCTTCAAGAGGACAGAACTGATGGATGTCCAAAGTTCAAACGCGTGCGAATTTTCGGTATACGTGAGTAGAACGAGGAAAGTTGCTATTCAGACACTTCAGGAATAGTGCAAAATGCGCCTCCATCTGTGGAGCAGATAACCGGGAACAAAATTCGCAGCGAGAAACGAACAGTGACCTCATTTATCAGTGCAGTGATACGAATGACGATACTGTCGATGTAGATGATCTAGACTGGACCTGTCGAGACAACTCCCTAGGAAGAGTAGGGAACAGACAGTAATCAACGCCAGGAAAAGAACAGAAAACATGATAGGGTATTCCTACCAAACATCTTACGCTAAATTAAGCTAGAGAAGGTAAAATAGATTAAGAACAAACAGAAACATGATAAGCCCAAACTTTGGGACCAAACTGCAAAGGTAAAAAGTTATATGCAATTACCTAATGAAACGCAAAGATTATAAAGGAGACGAACCTGTTCAAGGGCGTAGTATCGTGCTTTTAGATCCAGCAACTCTGTCCTTGCTTCCGCCTCCCGAACGCAACACATGGAGAGGTCAGTATAAAGGTGACACACATCCGTGGTTGTCGGTGCATTTTCCCTGCTCGGCATTCTGTTACGGAAGAAGTGTTGTTGGCGAGGAAGTGTATCACGCAGATCGTCCTGAGTGGCTGATCCAACGACACCGCGAGCAGGGTCGGGAATAGCTTCGAGAACCTTGGTGTCCGACACATGCTTCACATCAGGTGGAGAGAGTGGTGGGCAAACAGAAGTGGACTCGTCCGAAACGGAGACAGCCTGTAAGTGGGTGCGAGAGTAAGCTAAGAATATGTTCAATCGGATTGTAATAACGAACCCACGGCCAGTAATAATGTCACCTCGATTACGGAAAATGTTACAGTAAAAGCAATCAGTAGATCGGTCCTGCATACGCTAAAAGTGGCAGCAGTCTGTCATTGATAGACAGTGACGACACTTGGATATGTCCCGTAGAAGAAAACAAGTGATATTTGTTATGTCCGAAATTGCTTGAAACATGGTGACGATGCGTAAAGCCAATTTCCATGGACCAAGGGGCCACGCCTCAACTTCTTCAGGAATTGGGTTCCCCATGTATATCTACTGTGGAATGAGTCTCTTGGTCAGCTTAAAGTAATATTGGGGACTGTGAAGATAAAGGCTCTGGTAAGCTTGGTTTAGTTGAGGCGCTGGAATGCAGTACATCCTGGTACGCTGGTATCGGATTAACTAGCAGCATCACCAAAGAGAACAGCGAAATCTTCTCAGATCCGATAGAAAGCGCGTGTTCACCAATCCAGCCACTCGGATGGGACATAAGGGGCAGAGATACGGTAACGGCGAGAAGACATTGTTTAGTGGCTTTCGAATTTGTCCCAGGATTGAGACAAACATGGTGTCCATGGTGTTGCTGGACGGGTTACTACTGTACACCAAATGAAGAGTTGCAGCATTGCTCAATCGGTGGCCACATAAGAGAAGTCTTGCGGGAAGCGGTGGGTAAAGACTATCAGTTAATGAATGAATTCACTACACTAGGCACTTAGCTATGACCCACAGAACTAGACCGAACGTAGCGTGCTGAAATACACACAGCGATTCACAGACAAACTAACGTGAGAGCATTGGCTTTATATCGGTCCGATCCAATGGTGTACTAGCGCGATAGTGCAGTTGCCACAACACACCAATGCCGAGCACAAGCGTGCTGAACACTCACCAAGGCAAACATGGGTAAAAATTGCCAAGTTCCATGAGAACGGGACAGAGTTACATCGGAAAAGCCAACACGTTCCAAGAGAAGGTGATCCGCTTTTAAAAAGTGCGGAAACGTTTGTCTGAGGAATGTAAACAGATATGTTCCAATGGAAATAAAAAGTCGGAAAGAGTAATATGCAGAGTACAAAATGAACGAAAGTACATCAAGTTGCCCAAACGAAGGTAGGTCGTGCAGTTCATACAAAAAGAAGGGAAACAGCAATAAAACTGTCTGAAGTGATAGTATGAGCCAGATCGAATGCGTTTAACCATCATCTTCAACGAGTTTTACAGGGGTACCGTGCGGAGTCAAATTATGAACAGGGTCCAAAGGAAATATACAAAAAACCCAAGGGTGATTAGTGACTGATCGCAGGTTACATGAAGTCCCAGGTGAATGTGGTGGTGAGCATGCGCAAAGCGATGACGTACGCCTGGACTAGAGTACCAAAGATGGAATCGTCAGTCATTCGGAGCAACCAACAGCCAACAGGGTTAAGTGGAACCGATCAAGATGTAAAGACTGAAACGGTGGTTAGGAGTCAGTAGTTTGCGGTTAGCGAGAGTGATTACGTAGTCAGCAGAGAAGAGCAAGTAGTCATGAGTAGAAGAATCGTGAGTCCAACAAAAAAGAATTGTTTTACGACTATCCCGGAAGAATACTTGTTCTACTGCATCACACATGTGGTGAAAGAGCGCATAAAATGAGCTACTAGTGAAAGATGGAAATAGCAACTCAGATAGAAGCGGTAATGCAAGCCACCGTGTCCAATATGGTGCAACAAAAGCTAAACATACCAAGCAGAAATCTGTTAAATTGCATGAAGGAAAGTTAACAACGTAGAGTGATCAAGTAACAAAAATTATCACTCACTGAGTGACCAAAGCTGTTCGCCACTGATGTAGAGGTGGATGTTTCTAGTGGTAAGTCGACTCCCTTTTGCACAGGATCTGCGGGATCAAGAGCAGTGGTATCGCTAGAATTCATTATAGATGTCGCAAAGTCACCGTTTACTATTGCAAACCCTCCGTTGGCGTTTAAAGATGACCGATGAACATCATTTTCTGCCATCGTTCGCTTTAGAACAGACAGGTCGCAGCGAAGAGCCAACATTGTCTCCGCCTCTTGAGCCCGAACCAATTGAGATTGAATCAGTCGCTCAGCCATAGAACTGCATTCCTGTAAACGGTACAGAGGCGATAAACAGGTCCAATAAAATCGAATGCAGACCAAATCCAAACGTACAATGCTTCGTGCATGTTAAAACTCTCACTATCATGAAAGAAGCCCCATTGCGATGCATTTTGCAACACCGCAGAACACTGACTTGTCTTACACAGAAAGAAGATATAATCTCCAAACATTACCACAACCACACGTCACTCTGACTCGTACTTCGTGAGCATTCTTAGCTGCTTTTTTTGGACACACCACAGTCAACTGACTGTAAATGATCAGACCTACCTGGGGTGTGTCACGTTTCAAATCGAGAATAAGCATTATTATAACTAATCTATTTGATGCATTGTCGCTACTGTTTGGTTACAATGGGATGAGTGAATGGAGCTAATAAATGACTGAGGTTCACTTCCTACATGCACATCAGATCTGGCTGCCTTCGGTAAGAAAGTTGAAAAAGTGCACATTCGTCCGAAGTCAACGCGATAAGTACTGGTTTCAAGGAGGTATCAATCATGAGATAGAGTGCTAGGTCATCGTGACGATCCGGGGATAAAACAGTGGCTCCATTTAGAAATGTGCAATGGTAAGGCCCACAAGCAGTGTACGTATGACAAGCATGTTTCTTGTAAGACTGTTTCATTCACGGATGTATTAGAGCTTGCCCCGAAACAAACATAGTTGTAATCCTCATGTATATGGGGGACATAGCTTCTCAGTGGGCGCAGAAACTAAGCAGTCGTTTCCTGTTATAGTAACAGGCAAATATGGGGCATCATCATGAATTACAGTAAAGGCTGTTGAAAAGTTGTATACATCTAGGGGAATAAAGTGTTGTGGCCTAATAAGCGCTTTCACGCGGCAAGAGACAATTAAGTATTGTTGCGCTGTGCCTACAAGTGGATAAGCTCAGCTTTACAAAAGACGTCTATTGTTAGCGGCGGATCACAAGTTGAAGGTTATTAATGGGGATCAGAAAGAGAAAAAAATTGAAAGAAATGAGAATATCCGTAGCTCGAGGTGTGGATATGGATGCTAAGCTGTTCTCCGAGCTGAATGAGTATTGTGCAGATATTCCATTGCCTGCTAAGGAAACATCATCAGTGCGACCTCAGGGGCCTAGTTCGCAGTGCCTCGTAAGCGACTTCAATGTCCAAGTGCTTATTGATTGAATTTTGCTTTGAATGCCATGCTTCAATGAACTCACGTGCTTGCCGGCTTTTAGCCCTTCCGAGGATGCTGGCGTGGTCTAGGTCGAATTGATGGTTCTCGGCATCCATATACACTGACATCAGCGAGTCCTGATCGTGGCGACGAATGGCTAGGCTGTGTTCGTGTAGCCTTGTACCAAGCTTTCTTCCAATCTGTCACACGCAGTAACTGCCACAGTTACATCAGCAGATCTTATAAATCACACCAATTGCTTCCTCTTTGCTAAGTTTATCTTACACTGAAAAGTTTACTGCAAATTGTTTCCGTTGGGTGGTGTGCAACTTTGACTCCAAAAGGCAATAAAAGCCTCGCTGCCATTTCAGAGATTCCGTTGATATAGGGCAGAGTTGATCTCTTTTCAACTGTTGAAATTGTCGAGGTGTGTTGAACAGCCTATTTGTGGTGCAAGGCAGCGTAGAATGAAGCCTTTTGGGTACGAGTTCCGCTTGAGCAGATTGGAGATGGTTTTCCTCTGCCCGTCTCAGCTGCGATGTGCTACAATGGGTTTGTGCTCGTTTGAAAAGGTTCACACGCAGCTGCGCTTTTGGGCTACCGGATGATTACTGCCGGAGTTTAGGATCTGGTCCGTATGCGTAGATTTTCGGTAGACTGTTGTTCCCAATCGTTCAGCAGCATTCCGTCGTATGAGAACGTCTAAGAATGTTCTCCGCCTCCCTGATGAAAGGGATGCCATCGAACACACTGTTGATTAGTTCGTGTGTTTCCTCCAATTTGGAACAGATGAAAAGTTAAAATCAAGTAACATTCACTACAGGGTAGAGTTAACATACTAGGGAGTAGCAACGATCACATATAAACTGTAGTCTCACTAGAGCCGACAGTTAGACAGAATGAAGACTAGCCCGTGATTAGCAAACAAAGCTGCTTCCTTGCCGTCATCCTCCTCTACAAGACGGCGGATGGCTACAGCATAGTATGTGCCATCTCTGTCAACCTCAAGGCCCAATGTATTAGATTGGCCTAAGCGGATTGTTGCAAATTCCAAACGGACCAGTGTCCTGTGTTGACGGTAAATAGATAATAGTCAGAGTCCCTAGCATCAAAGACGACTGCATCCCATGGTTGGTGGTGTGCAGTTCCGGATTAGCCTGTTACTGAGACTGCAAACAACCACAGGAAGTCTGCGCCTATTGAGGGACCATTCACAAACCCCATATCTAGTGTGAACCCGAAAGAATAACACCGGAGGGAGTGTGGATGAGAGACATGAGTGATTCGCAGCCGGCCCACACTCTTCAACATGCACATCAGCATTCATTCGTTTGAACGAGGGGAACAATGCAAACCACACAGCAGTGCCTTGGACGTAGACCGCTCCACACTGGACTGAACCACTTTTAGCACTGTCAAAATAACTGTACACGCCGACTTCGCCAGCAATGAACAACTGTCTCCTGGAGCTAGTCTAATGGAGATGGAGAGTTTCAACAAGTAGGTATCTAGCCGGCATTCATATCAAGCGCGGTCGCATGGAAGTTATCAATCAAAAACCACCTGAAACTCAAGGGAATATACACGCAGGCACGCGTACCGACCAACTAAGGCAACGATGTAGCATACGCACCACGTGTACCGCGTTATTGACCTGGGTTAGTAACTGGAATCGGAAACAGAGTACTTACCAAGCGCAGTGCTGAGGATGCTTACTTATTCAGCTTACTTATCGTCTCTTCTATAATAGCTCTATGTGGACACGCTGGAGGCTTACCTGACCAATTTGGCGGCGGCACACAAGACTGCATGTGTTATAGTACCAGTTGGTTGATGGTCTAGTCTCCGTCAAGGCCGGTTGCTTCCGGCGTTTTCTTCCCCATGCAACAGTTAGGTCTGCTGCACCCACGCGACAGCATTCTGGAGGTGATCATGCGAAGTGTGCCGATTGAATGCCTTATCTTCCTAAGACCTAGAGTCAACATTAGACCGTGATAAACTCAATTTGGTCATATCCTGGTGACGAAGCTTCAGTTTGACCATGTTTGCCGTTACTGTAGAATGCTTCGGCATCCTCATCCAATCCATACGGCGGACATATCCCAGCCACCCCACATGCCACAGCAGAATTATGCAGTCCATTGCATACATGCCACTTCGGCGCAGCACCTCTGTGCCCGCAATTCTGTCGCACCAACCGATGCGCAAAATTTGGTGACAGCGATACAGTTATCTAATTTCGTTCAGGTCCAGATTTCGCTGTGGTAAAGGATAAGACAAAACACCATCGATCGGTACATCGGCAGCTACGTCCTTACGGTCACTCGGTGATTCGTCCAACTCCAGTCTCTAGCTTGCCAAATACAGTAGTCGCTTTCGATACGCGGATGCGCAACTCGCTCGTCACCTGTAGGTCGGTCCAAAGCACGCTCCCGATAAAGCAAAATTTCAAAACGGTTTCCAAAACGTTATCATTAAGCTGCATTTGGGGCAGTCACAAGGATTCCAATTCTGGTGATGGCTGAAAAATAGTCTTGCTTGTGCGTCCGAACATAGCCGCTGTGGAAGCGAGAACCACCGTCACGTATTGTAACTGACCCGCACCGTGTGCGAACAACGCGCAGGTGTCGGCAAACAGCAGTATACGGATGATTGTCTCACAAAGTAAGATTCACACTGCGAAACGACGGATGTTCAGCAACCCAGCAGTAATAGGGTGCTCCACACGGACACCGTAATCACATGCAGCATCAAAAAACAAGACATCATTGCACGAAGGTAAATATTAAACCGGGCAGCGGCTAAGACGGCTTTGCTTTGCACCAGAGATATGAAACTCATTAGAGATTTACCCACTCATCTGTATTTGGCCCGCATACCACTGTGCAGATAGTCAGTTAAACTTACAAAGTTACTCATATAACCAATCTTACCCAACAACAGCCACAGCGGTGTCAAATGCATTGGTGAAATCTATAAACAGCGAGTCAAATGGATGGTGTCATTCTCGGTATTTCGTCTACGATTCGCGAGCCGAGAACACCTTGTGTATGACGCTACAGCAAGAACGGAATTCGCATTACTTTTCTGCCGCGTTCGGTTCCACTACCTAATAGACGAGGCGGTTGAGCACGATTCGAGCTGCTAACGCAACCTAGCGATTTGACGCCACGACAGGTGTTGGCACATTGGTTGCTCCATTTGTCCGTGTACAGTGGTGGCAAAACGGCATTCTTCAACTCACCTAGTAACTGATGTTCAAACCGCACGCGTAGCGCCACGCGGTGTAGCGCGTGTAGAATTGCGGGTCCGTCGTTTTTCAGCACGTTTGGCGGTATCCCTTCGACTCACGCGCAGTTGCCGTTTCGCAGTTGAGCAAGTGCTCTCCGCATCTCATCCAGTGTCAGCGTGCCCTATAGACACTACATCACCTTTAATTCTTCCAGCGCATGCAATGTGGCCTAGTCAATATCTGAACGGTTGTCCAAAAGTGTCAAAATGCGTTCGCCAGATATGCATTATTTCTGTAGTGTTTGCGCAAACAGCGCCTGTGAAGTGTCATCGAGCAGCATTCTCAGCCGTTGCAACGAAAGTCCACACACCGCTTTCAAGGAGTAAAAGAATCCCTTGTTGGCAGCGTTCGGTGTAGCATTCCACTGCTCCGACTTTTCTGCCCACGGAGCTCCCGAGTCAATCGCCGACGCAAATTGCGAAACTGCATCAACATCTCTTCGTACACACGATGTTATACATACGCAGTAAAAGCTGTATTCCGCTCTGATACCATCGCTACTAGATTGTACCTCCAAGTGGTGCGATGGTTTGCGCGCCTCAAA